CATTAGAACATATAAAATTTAACATGAAAAGACGATGGACATAAGAGCACAACTAATCCAAAACAGATAACTGAAATTTTAAATAAGATCAGCGTTCCGTTTAAATATGATCACGTCGTCGTCACGTGGGCGATGTTTAAAAACGTATTCGAAGATGATTTTCAAATATTAAAATATTAAAAAGTCGATTGAACTATTTTATATAAACAGTTCAAGAAATCCCTTCCGTTGAATATAGGAATTGTAGAGATTAATAGGTTAATATATCTTCAACATTTATTTTATTTTCATTTTTAAAAGCAAATCAAAAAATGAAAATTTCAAAAAAAACGATGGAACAATAAAAAAAAGTTCTATAATAAAATCCTTTCCATTTATATAATTTATATATATATATGATTTATATATATATCCAAGCTTGAATTTCCATGTTATAAAGTAAATTCAGGTTTGTATTTATTATAGACAGTATGTAAAAACAAATATATGGATATAAATCCGACAGTATGAAGAAAAAATTAAAAAATTTTTTTTATTTTTTTTTTATTTTTTTTATTTTATTTATTTCATAAATCATCTTCGAATACGTTTTCACAACATCGCCCACGTGATATGTATTCAGGTCATATTTTAAACGGAACGCTGATCATATATGAAAAATTTAAGTTATCTGTTTGGATTAATAATTGCTCTTATGTCCATTATCTTTTATGTTTGAATTTTTATATGTTCTAATGTTAATTATGTTTAAATGAAAATGTCCATGAAGATTGGTCTTAAATAGACCGAAACGTCCGACGTTATTTTTTATATTAATTTTTAATACTCATCAAAATTTATTTTAAATTTTTTTTTTAAAGTTAGGATTTAAATATATATATATTTATATATATATATATATATATATATATATATATACATATATAATGTGTGTGTGTGTGTGTGTGTAATTAATATATATATATATATATATTGAATTTTGATATATTTATTAATGCTATAAAATGGAATTTTATATATAAAAGCATTAAATGAAATGATTGACGAATATATGGCAAATATGTGTTTAAATTTAAAAAATTCATTTACATAAAGAAATAAAGATAATTTTTCCAAATATTTTTAAATTATGTTTCAATTGTTGGCCGAAAATATTTAAATTTTTTTTAAAAAAGATATTTTAAATATTTAATTGGTGCCAAAATATAATTATATTATTGTTGTTATTTTTATAATTTGCCGTTTATCTCATTTTATAGACGGAATTTATTTAAGTTAATAAATTTTTTTTTCAAACCATTTTTTTATTATTTATTTATTATTACGGTTTAAAATGTTTTATTAATTTATATTTAAAAAAAATTGGATATAATTTATTTTCCAAAAGTTTATTTAATATATAAATTTATTTTTGGTCTGGGATATAATTAATTTATATAATTCGTTCAATATATGTAATTATTTAATATATTTAAATCTATTCTGTTATTCTATTTGTTAATGGGGGTATTTTTAATTTATTTATTTAAATGGATTTATTAATTTTTAATTTATTTTTTGCATTATTTATACTCAATTTATCGTTAGTATTAACGGTTATATTTAGTTCAACATTATTATTAATAATAATACACACATATACACACTTATATACTTAAATAAATGGATAGATATGATAAATAGATATAATTAGATAGATAGATAGATATATAAATATATTAAATAATACAATTATATCATTAAATGTTAATTTCTTCTTCTATTGTCAGCTATGGGTATTTAACAGGATAGACTATAGCTTTACAGAATATATCCATCAACTGGTCTATAAAAATATAAAAAATGTTCTGGAACCTGTTATTGGAAATAAAACGCCTTCATCCATTGTATGCCATAAAATCTTATGAGTACTAAATAAATGCTTATGAAGATATTAGGTTTATAATTGAAAATTTATGACACATATCCTCATGGCATATATAGTGGATAAAGGCTTTGGTTTGACCAGTGACAGATCCATGGTTTTCAAAAGTTCAATACCTGATTAAGGCAGTGGCGAACCTGGAGAAAAATTCAACAGGAATAACTTTTAAAAATTGTTTTCAAATGTTAGAACTAGAACAGTTTCGAAAGTGAGTGAAATAATTCCGTTCGACATTCCAACCACCTGAAGAAAAAACATCATCGAACAAAAATGAAACGTTGTGGAAAATATGGCGGAAAAATGAGGGCAACAGTCCGAATAATTTAAATAATTATTTATAGATTGGTTTCTTTTTTTTAGAAAATCTAGATAGATCTTTTTTTACATCTGTTACTGTTACACTTATTTAATTTTATGAAGTTTCGAGAAACTTATTCTTGTAACGTTTTTATGTTTATATTTGTTATAAGCAGAAGTCCTTGGGGAATTTTCAGTACTGTTTTAAGTATCGATATTCTTTAAATTGGCGCTTTTTTTTTTATATATTTTAGGTATCAAAATATATTCCTTCCAGTCATTTTAAATTAGTTCTGAAATAAAGCAAAATATTTGCTTATTGAAAAATATTAAATTTAATCTATTAGTTGAAAATATCAAATAAAAAGTGAAATTTAAAAATTGAACAAAGAAGGATTTCATTAATTTAAAAATTCATATTAAAATTTAGGTATCTCGTTTTACGGAAAAACACAAGATGAAATGCGAGAAAATCCAAGCTTAGTATGGAACAATCGGACGTCTAGCCAAACTGAAGATGTGATGCACGCCAGTCTGTCTGTCTGTGGATGATTATATATATATATATATATATATATATATATATATATATAAGGGAATAAATATGGCACATTGAAATCATTGAACTCTCTTGGTAAAAAGGTCTTTTTTAAAAAAACAGTATCTACATTAACACCTATTATAAAAGAAATATTCAAGAATACCAAACAGTTCTCCGAGTTAAGTTTACTGCATTATTTCGTATAGAGAAAAAACGTTGAAAATCTTAACTTCTTAAAAGATCTGATTGAATTCATTGTCAGTCGTGTTTCGATCCCAGCTTGAATAAATTCTTTTATCTAGCCACACAAACATGTGAAACCATCTCTCTGTGGTGACAGCATGAAAAAACATTTTCGCCTCTGAGAAAGTTGACTTCATTTGTTCACTTATATTTATTAGGACCAATACGCTCTATCTTCTGATATTGAAAAAATATATATATATATATATATATATATATATATATATATATATATATATATATATATATATATATATATATAATTATATACTGATTATACAATACATTCAATATAATCTCTCGGCTATTTTCATGCATCGATCGGTATAATTAGATATATTTGTTTTTTTCTAAAACTGTTAAGAAAAGGATATAAAGAGAAAATATACACGGGACTAAATATTATAAAGCATAAAAGCATGAAAATCAGGAAGATCAATATTAGATAGCGATGGAACCGTTTTTATATTTTTGCAGATTAAATTTCTGATATTGAAGGCAGTTTTATCCCATAAATATAAGTATATCTTAAGACTATATTTCTTCACATATATATATATATATATATATATATTAAGAAATGGACAAAGTGCAAACAATTTATTAAAAACATTTTATGTTTAACGTTCTTTTATAGATACAAGTAAATGGTCTGTTTATAATTGTTATTTTAACAACATTTACCGGCCTGAATGTCCGATAAATTGTCTTTAGAAAATATTCGTCCTTTGACAGATTTTTTTTTGCATCGTATCCTATGAGGAACCGTCATTTACGCAATGTCCATCAAACCGATCGGCCACAAAAGGATTTAACCGAAAAGGCAAGGTTAAGTTTATAAGCAGTAAATTCGACCTTTTTTTTACCGAACGCCTCCTTTGTGGTCGCGCGATTTTAGTGTGTATTAATTTTACTTGAAGAGAAATATATGAGCTTTGGATAAATGGAAAATATATAAAGTGCTTTTAGCTTTTGAGGTTTATAAATACACCATTTCACAAAAAATGCTATTTTTGCAGGTTGTCTACAATATTTTGTCTAATTTTTTATTATATATAGGTTTATATATATATATATATATATATATATATATATATGTATATAGAACGGATATTTGAAAATTGGACAAGGTGGCTCATTTAAAGTATGTAACTCTTTTACCTGAGAAATAATAAATAAGTGAAAAAAATTACTTTTTTTAATCCATGTTTTCGAGTTAAAAATTGAAAAGCTGTCCATATTATTTTGTCCAATATATAAATATATATATATATATATATATATATATATATATATATATATATATATGAAAAAAATATATATATATATGAAAAAAAATATACGGAAAAATCAAACAAAAATCATCATATGCAATTATGCTGTTTTAATGTTAATATGTCAACGTTGGACGTTTCGGTCTAATAAACCATTTTTTCAGGACATATCCATAAAATATAATTAACATTATCAATTCAATATGACAAAGACGATGTACATAAAGACCAAGAAACGTCCGACGTTGAGGAATTTATATTAACATTAAAACAGCATAATTGAATAATATGAGGATTTTTTTTTATTTGTTTTTTTCCGTATATATTTTTCTTCATACTAAAGATATATAGAATATATTTATATATACATATATATATATATATATTTTTAGTAGTAATATTAATAAGTATAAGAAATTATACACGTTAGGAAAACCTTCGCTGTTTTGATTTGGAAAATAATCAAACCAATACAAAAGGGAAAAAAATTTTATAAAAAAAGAAAGAACCAAGAACATGTACGTCAGCCTAAAATAATCGTCTCAGCATGCAAGTCCAAATGGAAAGAGAAAAAAACATAGGTTTTAGGCAAAACAACTAAATAAAGTGCTCAATACAGTAAGTAGAGCAGACGTAGTTAAACCTAAAGAGCCAGACAAACCTACCAATGTTTCACCTAAGCGGATCGTCGGCTTTGTCCGTTTGTCTGGCTCTCTAGGTGATGTATGTATGTATGTATGTATATATCTTTGTCTGTACGAACGTATATTTAGGTAGCATATCTTCATTCAAGCTTGTTTGATTGAATAATTTAGACATATTATATCTATTTTTATGGTAATCCTCTCAAATTTCTCAGTGTTATTATTAAACTGATTAAGAAAGTCGCCGTAGTTGTGGTCATTTCTTTTTATTTTCCTAAATACTTTCAATCTCATCCAAGATCATCTTCAGGAGTGAATTACTAAGACAAAAAAGTAATATAATTGATAGTGGTGATAATTTTCACAACTTTTTTTAGGAATTATATATATATATATATATATATATATATATATATATATATATATATATACGTGTATGTGTGTGTGTGTGTGTGTGTGTGTGTGTGTGTGTTGTGTCAGTTCATTTATCCATCTAGCTATCTATCTATCTATCTATCTATCTATCTAAATTCAGTGTTCATTAGCTATCTAAAAAAAATGATGAAAAATGATAGGGAAAACCTATATATATTTAGAACGGATTGTATCATATTAAGCGTAATTTTTAATGGATACTTGTATTTGAGTAGACGTCCTGGTTATATATATATATTAATAACCATCAATTGCTGATGTTGAAAAATCATCACTTGATAAGAACCAAAAAGTACATTGAAAACAAAATCGCTATTTTTGTAGTGATTTTAGAACATATTTATGTTATAATTTTTAAATAAATAAATAATTATATTCGCTCTACTCTGTATTGAGCACTCTTTTAAGAATAGTAATTGCTGGTTATTGGAATTTATTCCGTATACGCCAATCCTATACATGGATATATATATATATATATACGGTAGGGTAATGGATAGCGGCTTGGATTGAGGAATCGCAGAGCCGAGTTCGAATACCAGTCGAATCCATTACATTCACTTACGTGCTAATACCCTTGGGAAAGGTATGAATCCTCTTCCTCTCCCTTCAGCTATGGGTAAAATAGCAGGACAGACTGGGTTGGATGGCAACTGGTCTAGGAGAAGGACAACTCTGAATTCAAAAGCTGCGGAGGGTCGTTTGGGACCTTTATTATTCGGTGCACCAGGTCTCTGTATTCGTCCCTTCAAAAAGTGTGGATGGTCCTGCACGAAACCTTCACCACTATAATCAAATCTCATGTGTTGGTGTCGGGGTGTCTGACGGGAATCGATTATATATATATATATATATATATATATATATATAATAATAATATTAAACAATAATATTCCATGGAATATATAGTGTTTAAACCTTTATTATATCCATATTTATAATCCTGGACATTGAGTTTACCTGGATTCTATCCTCTTGGAATTTTTTATTCAAAAATAAATATTTTATGTGTATGCACCTTTTATATATATATATATATATATATATATATATATATATATATATATATATTGCATATGTATGTGTATATTTACCACTAATATTATCTATCTATCTATCTATCTATCTATCTATCTATATATATATATATATATTATGCCTATACAAGCCTTGCATTTACTAACTTGCCTGACTCCAGTAGGCAATAATTTTTAAACTTACGTACTTTATGGCGTTCCCTATCTATTATTGAGACCACACCTAAAAGGTTGACAATTTTTTTTATAATTTATATATGATTATGTCTACAGAAAGAAAAAAAAAAACAAACTAAATATACAGAAATAAAACTGATTAATGGTTGGATAAGCAAATCTAAAAACTAATCCGGGTTCAATTGTCACATTTCGTAATACACTTAAACAAAAAAAAAAAATCCTTTTAAAGAAAAGAAAATTCAGGGTTCCTTCGTCCTTACTCAGCATTTATTCGGGTAGAATTTTCTTTTGTTCTGGGTATCCACCTGGCTATATATTCTTCCGAGGTTCTTTATTTAATGTACCCGTGCTTGGGTGGGGGGGCTTTTTTTTTTCTTTTTTTTTTTTTTGTTGTCTAAACAGTGGCGGGAAAGGTATGTGTGTGGTCTCTGGCGGGGTTGAGCAAGGAGGAGGCTTTCGAGGAATTTCCGCCGGTGTGGAAAAAAAAAATGGGAAAAAGCAGGTGCAAAAGCGGAATAAGAGAAAATAATTTGCCTCGACTTGCATTTGAACCGATCCGTTCTTGAAAATTGCTTTTTGTCTTTCAAGAAACCTTATTTGTTTTTTTGTTTTTACTACAATCCATCCATCTATCTATCTATCTATCTATCTATCTATCGATTTTATTCTTTACATATCTATCTATCTATCTATCTATCTATGTTATTCTTTACATATCTATCTATCTCACTCTGTTTATATCTATCTATCTATCTATCTATCTATCTATGTTATTCTTTACATATCTATCTATCTATTATCTATCTATCATATCTATCTATCAATCTATCTATCTATCAGTCTGTTCATATATATCCATCTATCTATCTATGCCAACTTTACATATCTATCTATCTAAAATTCTGTTTATAGATATCTATCTATCTTAGTCTGTTCATATCTATTTATCTATTATCTATCTATCTATCTATCTATCTATCTTTCTATCTATCGATTTTATTCTTTACATATTATCTATATATCTATCTATCTATCTATCTATCTATGTTATTAAATACATATCTAATTTTATGTCAGCCACCATCTATCTATCTATCTATCTATATTCTTTTACATATTTTGAATCTATCTCAAGTTTTTATATGGAATCTATCTATCTATCTATTAACTCTGTTCTTTTATTTCTATCTAGCAGTCATCTATGAAAATTTTCATTCAGAGTGTTTATCTATACGAACAAAGTCGTATATATATTAGAGCATTATTGTTGGTTTTTGTAAATTATTCATTATCTGTTTATCTATTTAAGTCGTTTTTTACTAACTCAATCGTTTTTATTATCATATCAAATTTTCATTCATAAACTGCGTCATATTTGTGAAAAATCTCGTTCTTTTCATATCCTATCTATCTATCATATCTATCTATCATGACAATCTATCTATCTACAAAAACCTGTTCTTTAACATCTATCGAATCTATCTATCTATATCTATCTATCTAATATAATATCTATCTATCTATTTATATATATATGTTATATATATATTTATACATATATTTATATATATTATATTTATAAATATATTATTTATATATATATATTTATATATATAAATTTATATATATATTTATATATATATATATATATGAATATATTATATATATATAAAAATAAATATATATATATTTATATATATATTTATATATATATATTTGTTTACATATATATTATAGTATTATCATTGATATATCTATCGAAAATCTGTTCATATCTATCATATATATCTATCTATAGATATCTATCTATGCATTATATATATATGCATATATATATAAATATATATATATATATATATATATATATATATATATATATATATATCAAACATCGTATTAGTTCTTTCTTTCATTTGAATAAAATATAATAAATATATGAAATGTCTTATTTTACACCCTCTAGTCATATATAACCTTGAATTTTATTCTCACATGATGCACAGATAGTTTTCTTATTTTTAGTTTTTTTTGTTGGTGGGGGGGGATCTCATATTTAGTTTTTTTTTTTTTGTTTTTTCTAACACAACTGTTCGCTCTTCGTTTACTGACCTTAAACAAATTATTAGCTTCTGGCGTGAGTTGAACTCGGGTACTTCGTTTTTTTTTTTTTTTTTTTTTTACTTGGGCGCCTCTTTAATGATTAGGGATGTAATTTCAAATTATGCTGGGGGCTTACTTATTTTATGTTTTTCTTTTAACATCTGGGCCATTTAAAACGCCAAAAAAAAAAAAAAAATAATCCCAAAGATACAAGTTAAAAATTGGTAATAAATTTTCTATTCTTCCATTTATTCATATTCTGCGAATCATTTGTTCGACGCTGTCTTTTTTGTCTCTCATTGTTTGTTCGCTTTTCCTTTTTGGGCTCTGATATTTAACAAGGGGATTTTTCCTCCTCCATCATATCAATACCTACCAGCCCGCTTACCCCCATATTTTCCACTTCTTATCCGCTAACGACCTATTAATTAACCCATTCTCCTATTTCTTTTCTTTCTCGCCATTTTTTTTTCTTTTTCCGTTTTCTTTATTTGTTCGCGTGAAAGAGAGAAAGAGCGAAGGGAAACCTTTCTTTCTTTTTATTCAATTTGCCAAAAGCAGACGAGAAAACCCGACCAATATTTCCCGCCTATTTTCGAAACAAAAAAAAAAAAAAAAAAAAGAACGCGGGCAGCGGAAGGACCTTTTTTTTGGGGAAAATATGTGTTGGGGTGTGGTGGGGATATTTTTTATCATTAAGTTTCGGCCTGTAAAAGCGAGCCTTGCCGTCTCTTATGACTTTAACTTGACCTGGAAATACAGTAGAGCGAACAAAAGGTCCGAACGGAATCCTACGCTTCGCTGCGTCGAAAACATTATTCACCTGAATCTGATCCGTCGCCTTTGATGGCAGACGACGATGAGACCGATTACTAACAGTCAATGGCGGACAATATCATACTGCCCCCCTCCCCTCGCACACACACACACACACACACACCTCACCCCTAAACAACCCTTCCAAACCTCAACGGCGACCAAACTGCTCAAATCTAAACTAAACACATCTATCGTATATTTGTTATTCAAATCTTATTGCAGCTTCCCAGGACGCTTATCAGCTGTAGGGCTTACGGATTTGCTCATTTTCGATTCGATGGCCGCCATTTTAACTAATATCAACGTTTTAACTTTTCTCTCTTTCTTTTTCTCATTCTTCCGTTCTTTTTTTTTCTTTTTTTTTTTTTTTTTGGTGGGCTCTGTTCGTTTGTTTTCTTCTTTTTTTTTTTTGTCGTAATTATTCCGTTTGTTCTGGGTATTTTTTTTTTCCTTCTGATTTGTTTTTTTTTTTTTGCTTTATTCATTTCGCCTTCCACTCGGCCATTTTGATTTGCATTGTTTCTTCCTTTATTCTTCATAAGATATCAACACCACCAACAACACCATCACCACCACCACCACCACCATCAGCAGCATTTGTTCTTTCTTTCGTTTTTTCAATCATTATTTTCTTTTCTCGTTTTTCTACACCCGGCCATCTTCACTAGTTCTTTTCATCTTTTCTTATTTCTGTGCTTCTTCTTTGCTTTTTTTATTTTGTTTATATCTTTATTATTCAGTTTTCATCACTACCGTTACCATCGTTATCTTCTTCTTCTTCTTCTTCTTCTTCTTCTTCTTCTTCTTCTTTTACTTTCTATCACTCATTTGTTTTCTTCTTCTCCCTTCTATAATTTCTTTCTTTTCTTCTTCTTCTTCTTCTTCTTCTTCTTCTTCTTCTTCTTCTTCTTCTTCTTCTTCTTCTTCTCATTATTATTATTATTCTTCCTTTTTATCACTCCTTCATTTCCTCTCCCTTCTATAATTCCTCTTTTCTTTTCTTCTTCTTCTTCTTCTTCTTCTTCTTGTGTTTAGTATTATTTCTCTTCCTTTTTATCACTCCTTCATTTCTTCTCCCTTCTTTAATTCCTTCTTTTTCTTTTCTCCTCCTCCTCCTCCTCCTTCTTCTTCTTCTTCTTCTTCTTCTTCTTCTTCTTCTTCTTCTTCTTCTTCTTCTTCTTCTTCCTTTCTATCACTCATTTGTTTTTCTTCTTCTCCCTTCTATAATTCCTTTCTTCTTCTTCTTCTTCTTCTTCTTCCTTTCTATCACTCATTTGTTTTTCTTCTTCTCCCTTCTATAATTCCTTTCTTTTTCTTCTTCTTCTTCTTCCTTTCTCATTTCATTTTTTTTCTTCTTCTCCCTTCTATAATTCTTTTTCTTCTTCTTTTTCTTCTTCTTTCTTTTCTTCTTCTTTTCTATTTTTTCATTTGTTTTTCTTCTTCTCCCTTCTATAATTCCTTTCTTTTCTTCTTCTTCTTCTTCTTCACTTTCTTCTTCTTCTTCTTCTTCTTCTTCTTCTTCTTCTTCTTCTCATTATTATTATTATTCTTTTTTTTTTCTTCCTTTTTTTCCTTTCCTTCTCTTTCTTTTTCTTTTCTTTTCTTTCTTTCTTCTTCTTCTTCTTCTTTGTTTTTTCTTATTTATTCTTCCTTTTTTTCCTTCATTTCTTTTTTCTTCTTTTTCTTTCCTCTTTTTTCTTTTTCCTCCTCCTCCTCTTCTTCTTCTTCTTAAATTTCTTCTTCTTCTTCTTCTTCTTCTTTTCCTTTCTATCTTTCATTTTTTTTTCTTCTTCTCCCTTCTTAATTCCTTTCTTTTCTTCTTCTTCTTCTTCTTCTTCCTTTCTATCACTCATTTCTTTTTTTCTTCTTCTCCCTTCTATAATTCCTTTCTTCTTCTTCTTCTTCTTCTTCTTCCTTTCTATCACTCATTTGTTTTTCTTCTTCTCCCTTCTATAATTCCTTTCTTCTTCTTCTTCTTCTTCTGCTTCTTCTTCTTCTTCTTCCTTTCTATCACTCATTTGTTTTTCTTCTTCTCCCTTCTATAATTCCTTTCTTTTCTTCTTCTTCTTCTTCTTTTCTTCTTCTTCTTCTTCTTCTTCTTCTTCTTCTTGTTTTTAGTATTATTTTGTTTCTTTTTTTATCCTTCTTTTTTTTCTTTCCTTCTTTAATTCCTTTTTTTTCTTTTCTCCTCCTTCCTCCTTCTTTTTCTTCTTCTTCTTCTTTCTTCTTCTTCTTCTTCCTTTCTATTCTTTCATTTGTTTTTCTTTCTTCTTTTTCTATTTCCTTTCTTCTTCTTCTTCTTCTTCTTCTTCCTTTCTTCACTTTTTTTTTTTCTTCTTCTCCTTCTTAATTCCTTTTCTTCTTCTTCTTCTTCTTCTTCTTTTTTCTTCTTCTTTCTTCTCCTTCTTCATTTGTTTTCTTCTTCTCCCTTCTTAATTTTTTTTTCTTTTTTCTTTTCTTTCTTTTCTTTTTCTTCTTCTTCTTCTTTTTCTTCTTCTTTTTTCTTCTTTTTTATTTAATTTCTTTCTCTTCCTTTTTTTCTTCTTTTTCTTCTCCTTCTTTAATTTCCTTTTTCTTTTTTTTTTTCAGATTTCTTCTTTATTTCTTTTCTTTTCTTCTTTTCTTTTTCTTTTTCTTCTTCTTCTTCTTTTTTTATTCTTTTTTTTTTTTTTTTTTCCTTCTATTCTTTTTTCTTTTTCTTTTTCTTTTTTTTTCTTCTTCTTCTTCTTTTTTTATTTCTTTTTCTTCTTCTTCTTCTTTTTTATTTCATTTCTTTTTTTTTTTCCTTTATTTAACTTTTTCTTTTTTTTCTTCTTATTCTTTTTCTTCTTTCTTTTTTTTCTTCTTTTTTTTTCTTTTCTTTTTTTCTTCTTTTTTTATTTATTTCTTTCTTTTTTATCCTTCTTTTCTTTCTTTTTTCCTTTTTTTTCTTTTTCTTTTCTTTTTTTTTTTTTTTCTCCTTTTCTTTCTTTTCTTTTTTTTTTTTTTTTTCTTTCTTGTTTTTTTTTGTTTTTTCTATTTATCTTTCTATCTTTCTATTTATCTATCTTTTTATCTATCTCAATTTTTTTTTTTCATTTTTCTTTTTTTTTTTCTTCTATATCTTTCATTTGATATTTTTTATTTATTTATCTATTCAAATTTTTTTTTTTTTTTTTTTTTACATTTTTTATTCAAATTAAAATAATTTTTCATAATGGGAAGAATTAAAGTTAGTTTTCAAATGATTTCATTTTCTTTTTCAATTTTTAAAATTTAACCATAAATTTTTTTTTTGTTTTTTTTTTTTTGAATTTTTTTATATTTTTAAAACCATTTTGATCCCTCTAAATTCAATTATATGAATTCAGACTTTATATTTTTTTATTTAGAATATTTTTTTAAGAAAATCAATTTTTTTATTCACATTTTTTTTACATTTAATCAAATTTATTAATATTTGAAATGTTCATTTTAGAAATTTTAATACATATATAAAAAATGGAAAATAACTTAAATATTTTCAAATTTAAAGTGTTTAAATTTGAGGATTGAAGATTGAACATTATATAAATATATATATTTTATTTATATTATTATTATTTTTTTTAAATTTAAATACATTTATTTTTTTGATTCATTTTCTAAAGGAAGTCGTTTTTTTCATCAATAAATTTTTTAAAAAAATTCATTTTAATTTTTTCTATATTTTCATTCTATATCTATACTGTTAATCAAAGGAAAAGATAATATTATTTTTAAGATAATTTATTCAAACGAAGTTTCTATCTTTCTTATTTTTTTTATTTAAAATGTTGTTTTAAAAATTTGGATTTTAAATTTAGGAAATTAAATATTTAAGAAAAAACGGACCATATTTTCACAGGAATTCTCTTAAATTGAACATATTGATCTTTTTTTTTTAAACGATCTAATTTTTGAAAAATTTTATATAAATAGGAAAAATATATATGAATTTATATATATATATAAATTATATATATTTTAAATGATGGAAAAAACATTTATATTTTTTTGTATGGTTGAAAAAGATTATTTTTATTTAAAAAATGGTTTTATGAGAAATTTTAGAATTTTAAAAATTTGGATTTAATTTATATTTATATTATTTCCTTATATATATTTATATATATTATATATATATATATATCAATATATATATATATTTAATATTTTATATAGTATATTATTATACAATTTTGAATCACAAAAAAGAAAAATTTAAAATCAAAACAGGAATATTTTTTTAATTCTTTATTAAAGGATTTGGAAATATTATTTTCATTTTTTTTCACTGCCAATTTAATTTTTTTTTGAAAATAATGAGAATGACATTTATTTCCATCGATTTTTTTTTCTTTATTTTTGTTAAAAAATATGTTATATATATATATATATGATTTTTAATTATTTTATATTTAAAAAAATTTATTTTCAATTTTTTTTTTTTTTTTTTACATATTATTTTTATCATGAGGATTGAATATATAAAATATTAAATAAATATTTAAAAATTTATTTTTAAAATTAATTTATAAAATCATTAAAAATAGCCATTTGCCATTTTATATTCATTTTTTTTATTTATATTTATTATTTGAATATTAATTAATATAGAATATTTTCAATTTTTTTTTTTTGATTTTTTTTTGAATTTTTTATCCCTTATAGAATGGGAATGTTCATATTATTGAATTTCAATAATGATTGATAAAAAATAAATTAACAAGTCTTTTAAAATAAATATATCATTAATAATATAATATATTTAAATGTTAAAAATAAATTTTATTTTTTTTTTTCAAATATTAAAGAATAACTGTTATAAAATAAAAATCAAAATATATATATATATATATATATATATATATATATATATATTTATATTTTAAAAATATCAAAAATTTTTATAGATTTCTAAAAAGAATTATTTTTGGGAAAAATGTTTTGATAAATAAAATTATTAAAGAATATTTTTTTAATTAGATGTAAATAAATAAATAAAACAAATTTAATAAATATAAAATATTTTATGATTAAATAAAATAAAATTTCTTTTATAAAAATTGTGCGAAATAAAATTTTTAAAATAAATGCATTTTCTATTTATGAAATTTAAATGTCAAAAACGACATCATATATTTTCATTAAATTAAAACTGTCAATAAAGATTTTTAAAAAAAAGAAAATAATTATTTAAAAATTTCTTTTTATAAAATATATATATATATATATATATATATATATATATATATATATATATATATATATATATATATTTGAATAGATAAAACAAATTAAAAAAAGGAAATTTTCAAACATTGGCGAAATTAATAAAAGAAAAAAAAAATATCAGTTTTTTTTGTTTGCTTAAAAATGATTTTTTTTATTCATGATTTAAAATTGAATAACTTATTTTGATGGCTTTTTTAAAATTTTTATGATGCATTTTCGTTTGAAATTTATCAATAAATTTAAAAATTTTTTTATTTAAAACCCAAAAATGTTAAAAATTCAAATTTATGACAATAAAATGATCTTTTTTATTTTATAAGGAAATGAAAAATTTTTATTTTAAAATTAAAATTTAAAAAACAAAAAAATTTAAAAATTATCAGAATTTTATTTAACGAGAAAATATTACATATATATATATATATTTATATATATATATTATATATTTATATATATATATATATATATATATTTATATTTGAATTTGTTTTTTTAAAAAAAACAAAAGAAATAAAAATTTTTTATTTTTTATTTAAAAATAAAAATATAGAAAAAAAAATCATTTAAAAATTTTATTTTGCAATCACATTCAATTTGGATTTATATTTTTAATTACAATTTTGAATTTTAATTTAAAATTTCTATGCATGAAAAAATAATCAAATAAAAAATGATATAAAAATTTAAAGAATTAAATTTATTTTTGAAAAAAAATAAGTTATTTTAAAATGTGTTGATATTTTTGAATTTTTAAAATTAAATTACTGAACGTTCATTTTGATATTTAAATCTTATAGAATAAAATAATTTTGCATGAAACACAATTTTTATAGATAAAATTTTGTTTATATTGATAAAAATTATAAATAAAGCAAAATTATAAATTTTTCATTTTTATTGACCATTATTTTTTTTTCACATTTTTTTTTTATATTTGAATTTTTAAAAATTTTATGAAAAAGAATGCCATAGTCAAAAAATAATTTCTGGAAAAAAAAATTGGTTATTTTGTTAATTCTTTTTCATGTCATTTAAAAAATCGGAAAGATTTTCTTTTTCAAATAAAAAATTAAGATTCAAATAATATATATATATAAATTTTATTATTTATAAATAAAATGTTAAAAATATAAATTCAAAATCAAGAAAGAAAAAAAAGAATAGATAAACTTAAAAAAAAAGAAAGAAATATTTTATGTTTAAGAATTTTTATAGAATCAGATTTCCATTTTTTTAATTTTTAATATTTCAAAGACAGGAAAATTTATAAATTATTTTTTTATTTAAAATTCCAAAGAAAGAAATTAAATAAGAACAAGATTACTTTAACAAATAATTGATTTTTTATTTAACATTTTTGACAAATTTAATTTTTATATAAATTTGATTATCATAATCATTGGGCGATTTTGTGGAAATTTTTAAAGTTAAAACCATTATTTTGAATATTTTAACGATTTTTCAATTTTATTATTGATTCTAAAATAAATATTTATTAAAAGGCTTTAATTTGAAAAAGAAAAAAAATTCTTTAAAGTTTAAATAAAAAAAGTATTAATTTTTCATCAAAACAGAAATATTTACATTTTTTCTTGTTTTTAAAATTTTTTTTAAAAAATAGAATAAAAAATAATCACGGAATTTCAGAAATTAAAAAGTTTTTGGTTTTTTAGGTTGTGAATTTATATATATATATATATATATATATGACAAAAAAGAAAATTTCAATGTATTTTGGTTAGAAATATGAATTTTATAAATTTTAAATTATTTTCCAACAAGTGATTTCTTATGTATTTCAAATTTTTATTTATTTCATATTTAATGTTTTTTTTTTTATATCCTTCAATTTTTCAAATGAAAAAAAAATTTTATTTTTTGTAAAAATCATTTTGTTGATGGACATGTTTTAAATTATTTTTTTTCGTTTTTTAATTGTTGATTTTTGATTTTGAATAAAAAAAAATAAAAAAATGAATTTTTTATGAATTAATTTTTTTCAATTTTTAAACAATAAATTTTCCTTATTTTATTTTTTTTTTGTGAAGATTTTAAAATTATTAATTAAAGATGCATTCTAAGATTATTTTTATTAATAATTATTATTATTATTATTATTATTATTATTATTATTATTATTTATTTTTTTATTTTCTTTGATTTCTGGCGTTTACACATTTCTTTCCGGGTCCCGCCCAGGGACCTAAGGTTAGAAATGGCATCATGACACTTTCCACTGACAAAAAAAAAAAAAAAAAAAAAAATTACATAGATAAAGCCCTTCGTAAAGTGTGGGCTGTACTTGTCAGAACAATTTTTTGTATCTCCTTTGAGGCATGGACTTCCAGGAATCCCTTCAATTAGTCTACTGCAATCTTTTCCAACCAGTCCTAGGGCTCCAACTACAACAGGGATTGTTGATGTTCCCATATGCCACATTTTCGAGATTTCTATTTCAAGGTCCTTGTATTTTGACAACTTTTTGAATATCTTCAAAGATACATTGCAGTCAGCAGGGACTGCCATATCAATAAGGAGGCATTTTTTTTTGTTTGTGGTCTTTAATAACAATATCTGGCCGGTTGGCTTTGATTGTTCTGTCAGTGTGTATTGTGTAGTCCCATAGAATTGTAACAGGTCCTATCTCCGTAACCGGGTCTGGGTGGTGTTCATACCAGTTTTTTTCAGTTTCCTTCCCGTAGAAGTTGCAGATTTTCCAGTGCAGATATTGGCCCACTCTGTCATGTCGGGTTTTATATTCAGTGGGTGCCAACACCGTACAACCTGATACAAGATGATCAATCGTTTCTGGATATTTATCACAGAATCTGCATTTTGGGCTGACACAATATTTTAGTATATGTGCTTGATAATTCCTA